TGTATACAACATTCTGCTTCCATGTATATCTGCACACCAGAAGAGGGCACCAGATCTCATAATGGATGGTTGTGAGTCACCATGTGGTTGCTGGGAATTGAATTCAGGACCTCTGGTAGAGTGGTTGGTGCTCTTAACCTCTGAGCCATCTCTCCATCCTGCATCTACTTTTTAAAGGTTGACTTCTGTGTGGTAGCTCTGTGAGCTAGACGAAGCATCCCTCCTCAAAATGGAGTACTCTGCAAGTTTTTCCCACCTTGCAGAGGAAAAGAGAGAGGGTAGGACTTTAGAATTTATGTTTAATGTTATCTTTAGAAGCAGTTCCTAGGTCAGCAGTAGGGCTCCTTCTTATAGCCAGCTCAGGTGGACAAAAAGGATGAACAAGAAACAAGGACTAGCAAAGCCTCAGACACGCTTCTTGAGTGCCATCCTGCTGAAAAGATTGCTAGTTCCCATGGTGATCTTATTTGATGCTTTGCAATGATGCCAGGGATAACACTGAGAGCCCAACTGCTAACTTCCACAAATGCAGCAGATCCCTAAGCCATGAGCGGGAGCCGCTTTGTCTCACTGCTTGCTCTGTGTCTTGACCTCCTAGACCTGTTTGAGTACAAGTTTGTGAACAGCCGTCTGGTGAACAGTACGTTCCTGCACAATAAGGAAGGCTGCCCACTAGATGTGACAGGGACAGGGGAAGGTGCCTACATGGTGTACTTTGTCAGCTTCTTGGGGACACTGGCTGTGCTTCCTGGAAATATCGTGTCTGCCCTGCTCATGGACAAGATTGGCAGGCTCAGAATGCTTGGTAAGGGCACGAGGGCTGGGTGCTGGCTGGTCAGTATGAAGGCAGCTAGGGCTGGGGCAGGCTGTCAGGAGACTTCTCACCTCCAGCTGTGGAGGAGATTGACCAGAGAGTTTCTCCGTCATGTTTTGTTTAGGGGTGCTGCAAAATGGGGATGGACCTGGCATAGAAGTTACTCTAGTAGGTTAAAGAGAATGACGGGCAAGTCGGGTGCAGACTTTGAGGTTATAGGTTTGAAATTCAGCTCCATCACTTACCTTGGGCAGGCTATTTATTCCCTGTGAGCTTGCACCTGCAACATAGGACGTGAAAATAGCACCTGACGTCTCAGATAGATACATCTGAGTCATCAAATTACTTGTCTGAGAATTGGTATTGGATAAATGGTTGCCACTGTTACGATGTTAATAAACACAGGGGCTGAGGACCACCTTGGGAAACAGTTACCTGGGATTGTGGCAAAGCTTGCTGGTGGGCAAGCTGGGCCATGGCTGGGTTTCATTGCTCTCCCTTCTGGTTCCAGCCGGTTCCAGTGTCATGTCCTGTGTTTCCTGCTTCTTCCTGTCTTTTGGGAACAGCGAGTCAGCTATGATTGCTCTGCTCTGCCTTTTTGGGGGGGTCAGCATTGCATCCTGGAATGCGCTGGACGTGCTGACAGTGGAGCTCTACCCTTCGGACAAGAGGTAGTGTGGTGGGGGCGGGGAGGAGGGTTAGGAGCCACGGGACAGGGGAGGAGTGCAGTGAAGAGGAGGGCGGGGGTGGGAATGATACTGTCAGGGATGGGGCACACATCCCTGCTGAGTTTTTCCTTAACAGCTGGGAGCTTTTGTGTTCACTCCTACCTGCTAACCTCATGCTTCTGTCTCCTTTCTCTCCCGTCTCCCAATCTGTCTGTATTCCCACCTTCTCCCCTCGTTCTCCACCTTCCTCCCCTCTTCTGAACACTGCTTGCCGTCTTTCCCCACTTGGCTTTTTCACCCACCTGTCTTCCGTCTTCTGGGCCCTGACCACCATGTGGCTTGGCACGGGGCCTCCTGAGCAGGACCACCGCCTTTGGCTTCCTGAATGCCCTGTGTAAGCTGGCAGCAGTGCTGGGGATCAGCATCTTCACCTCCTTTGTAGGCATCACCAAGGCTGCTCCTATCCTCTTTGCCTCCGCTGCCCTTGCCCTCGGTAGCTCTCTGGCCCTGAAGCTGCCTGAGACCCGGGGGCAGGTGCTGCAGTGAGGACAGGGGTCTCGGGCTTTAGGGATGGGTGGCAGGCACACTGTGAGACCAATCATTCCTTTTATCCCTTCCCTGCCCTGCCGTCCTGGTTCTCACTCCCCTGTGTTTGGTGTCTTAGTTGTGTGTGCCTGTGTGCATGTGTGTGACCCTGATGGGCAGGGGCTATAGGGAAGGCCCCTTCATCCCACTTTAGGGATGAGGCGCTCCCCACCTGCTGCCACCCTCAACTTTGCACACGAGAAGGTTGAGCTGCATCCTTCTCTCCCCCAGTGTTATTGGGGGGTCCTTGTTTCCCTGCTCCAGGGGTTCTAGAATTTCTGCCTTCCCCATCATTCCCTCTGCCTAGGCCCTGGTGAATCACAGGTATGGAGTTATGTTGGGGGCTGAGGCTTGGACCAAATGAACTTCTTGAGTGGGAAGGGCCTTGGGTGCCCTCTAACCTCCCAAGGATGCTGGGGAGTAGCCATAAACCTCAGCCCTCTGGCCTCCATTTTCACCTCAATGCAGGCTACAAATGTGAAGCCTGGATTTTATGGAATTTGTTTTCTGATTCTTATTTATATATAAGTTCTGAGGCAACTTAGCAGGAATGTGTGTGTGTTTGTGTGTTTGTGTGTGCGTGTGCATGTATGCCATGGGGTAGGGGTACCACTATACTGTTCAAATAAGCCAAGGGTAGTAGTTTCAGTGAATACACACAACACTGTTTTTCTCTATTACCTCCCAGAATCTTCTGTATTGGAGCTGGGAGGGAGAAGCACTAGCCAGGCTGGAATGAAAGTCCTGCAATCTAGGGAGTCCTGGGGGCACCTGACAAGGCCTCACTCTCCTTCTTCCTCTAGAGAGGTCCCACCCACTAGCCACAGCCCTTCCACCTGACCTGTCCTCACAGGCAGGGGCCAGAGGAAAGAAAGGGAAAATAACCAGGCTTAAGGTCAAACCAGCAGATCCAAAAGCACAAGGAGTTGGGGCAGGGGCAGGAAGCAGGGGTCCTCCCCTCACCCCTTTTCAAAGAGGGACCAGAAGCCTCAGTTTCCCCATCTTGCCCTTCTCTAGGTCAGCCTCTGTAGGTAGAGCTGCCCCTCCTACCCTACGATGTGTGACTGCTTTTCTTTGGTACTTTCTACCCACTCCCTCTGTAGCTGTGATGTGTTGTAGTTTTTAGCTGTTTGTAAATGTTAAAAAAAAAAAAAAAGTTAAAAGGAAGTTAAAATAACCACAAAAAATCCAAATTCACCCTCGTCATGCTTCGTCCGGTGCCCTCCACCCTAAGGCCATTCCTTGGTTTTGTAACACTGAATCAGGTGGTGACTGTTTAACTCCAGTGTCTGTACTCAAAGGACTGCCTTCTTCCTCCAGTGCCCAGTGCACGAGTGTGCCCCTTCTCTCTCCATTCCGTGGCTGGACGTAGCCCTCTCTCCCTTACATCCCCAGGGGAGACACTTCCACTTCCTTGTCTCCTGAGGAACCCTAAACCTGATTCATTGATGTGAAAAATGAAATGAAAAATACTGCTGAAAAATAAAGGGTACAAAATCCTTAAGATTCAAAGTGGCTCTGTCTGCTTCTTGGCATTTGCACTCAAATTTAGCTCTACCCCGACAGTCTGGGGAAGATAAAATGGTGTTGGAGAACAATTCCTTTTCCAAAGCCCTCTATTATTATTATTCTTGACTTGTGGTATAGGGCACCTCAAATCTACATTTTGTGTGTTTAAAAAACATTTTATTTGTGGAGACTGGAAAGGTGGCTCTCTGGGTCCCTTGTTACCCTTGCAAAAAGTAACATAAGCATGTATTTTATGTGTGTGAGCATTTTGCTTACACATGTGTATATGCACATGTGCCTGGTACCCACTAAGGCCAGAACTGGGTACTAGACTCCTTGCAACTGGAGTTATAGTTGGTTGTGAGTCACCATGTGGGTTCTGGGGATCAGACCTGGGTCTTTGTAAGAGTGGAAAGTGCTGAGCCATTTCTCTAGCCCCTGATTTTAAGCAATGCCTTGGGAATTTGTCTGCAGCTGGCCCTTGACTCCCCTTTACTCAGGTCCATTGCTGCTTCAATCAAGCCACAGTACATTTTTTCCCTTTTTTGAGATGTCTTACTATTGAGCTCTAACTGGCCTTGAATTCAATGAGATCTGCTTGCTTCTGCTAGGATTAAAGGCGTGTGCCGCTACACCCGGCTCTGAAGCCTGAATAACCTTCTACTGCCCAAATAGGTCCAAACTAGAGACAGTTTATAGTGAGATATGGTCGAGATTATATACTGAGACATTGCTGGGATTAAACCCAAGGCTTCTGACAAGCTAATGAAGCGCTCTGCCACTGAGCGCATCCTCAGCCCAAGCTATGGTCAGCAACACCTTTCTCTGGTAACCTCCTCATAAAGGACACCGGAGAGCTGCTTTAGCGAATCACCTGCGCTTCCCTTGAAAAGCCAGGCAGTGTTTGTTCCGTTTTTTTCCTGCTTCAAAAGTAGGAATTTCTTCCCTTCCGGTTTAATTTTGGTATCCTTGTAAAACTCACATAGTTCACTTCCTCTCGAATCCCTTCTCTAGTCCCTCACAGAAAATGCCTGTAGGGACCTAACAGCTGCATAAAGCTCAATGCCCAGAGCCATTTGATGGTGGGAGGAAGGACTCCCAAGAGTTGTCCTCTGACCTCCTCCACACGACCGCTGTGGTGTCCTGTACCCTCCATCACATACACAGGTAACACCGATTTAACAAGTATTAAGAACACCGCTTTGACCTCACCAGGCAGCTTCTCTTTTATTTTCATGGCCTTTTCTGACTCTTCAGGACCCAGCAGCCATTCTTAACTAGCCCAAGAAAGGGCAGTTGTGAGTGGCAGCTACTCTCTCCCTGGGCTAGCTTAGCTTTCACCGGCCAGGAGCTTCTTTGCCTCGGCATGGTGTGTGTTAGCAGAAAGGGTAGGGGTCCTGGTCCATACAAACCAAGGCATGAGGTAGTAATGATTTAGAGGTTTATTCTAATTTGGCCCATTCTGATCGCTGTTTTCCCAGTCTGGGTATCAGGAAGTCCCTCGAGTTTTCTTGCTTCCACCTAGGCAGGGGGGGCTCGTGTCCAGCTGTGGGTTCTCCCTCCACTGGGCGGGGGTCTTCGCCTGGATGGCCAGCGCGTGTACCGGCCCAGCCAGCTCCTCCGACAGCGCCGCGTGACCCAGCCGGTGCCGTTGCAGAGGGCTCATCCCCTCGAACCGAGAGCTCACCACCGCCACACGGAAATGCGTCTCGCTGCCTGCTGGGACGGCGTGGCCGCCGCTCTCGTTGCGCAGCTCCAGTACCTCGGGGCTCAGGGCTTGCTCCAACTTGGCGCGGATAGCGGCCTCCACTGGCCCTCCGGCCGCCGATCCCGCGCTGTCCCGCGACGCACAGGCGCGCGTGGCCATGGGGACCGTGCACCGGGCCAACTGCGCCCTCAGCATCCGCTGCGGAGAAACCAAAGGCGCGGGGCTGAGAGCTGGGTTCACACACCCTCCCCGCGCACCCCAGGACCGCCTCTGCACTGCTGGCGCCTGCTGGGACGGCAGGAGAGCTGGGCACCAAGGGCACTGGGAAGGCACGGCTGGGAGCGGTAAAAATGGAAGGCGTGCAACTTGGTCCTTTTGATTGAGTCAGAGCCCTAACGTCCCCTCCGAACCCTAGGGTGATACCTCTGTGCTCGCCGCGCAGCCTACGTAAAGCACGTCTGCTTTACGAGGCGTCGGGAAGCTCGCTAGGAAACGCAGTCCCGGTTGCGTCTGGCAGGCGTTACGTAGTACCCAGAGGCTTCATGGGAACTGTAGTCCCCGCTCCTCCCAACTGGTGCTGCCAAGTCAGGAAATGTAATGCAGATGCAAGGATAAAAGGATTTTCTGCAAATTTGGGATTGTTGCGCCGGATTTGTTGTTTCTTGATCTTGTAACTCAAATAGCTTTATTCCTTTATAATTAATTAAAAACAAGGTCTCATGTTGCCCAGGCTGGCCTCCACCTCTCTAGAATGCCTGATCCTCCTGCCTCTACCGCCAACGTGCTGGGATTACTGTCCGGTGTCACTGACAAGAGCGCCTCCAAAGTAAAAAAGGGATTCCTATGCGATTACAGCTGACCTTGCTCAATAGGTCAACCACAATTCAGAAGGGAATGTCTGCCGGGACAGCCTCGTTCCCAAGGTAATCTGTCTTGCTTGAAGCGGATAATCCCAGGAAGAAAATGAAGACCCTCACATAGCCCTCTATAGCTGCGGCAACTTCCTCATTCCCAAACCCACTCACTCACCCCTACATAGGGTCCCAAGCAGCTTTTTCCCTCTGGCAGACCCCTTCATTCCTGAGAGAGAAAGGCTGTCCCTCTCTGTGTGCACTAATAAGCAGGCTCACCTGTTGAGGTCAGACTCTGGTCTCTTTCTGCCTTCTGTCTCTTCACCTGTACTCCTAAATCTAACAGTTACACCCCTGAATCCCCATTATTCTACCATACAGACAAGAAAATGGAAGGCCATTATATGCACTAAGCAGGTAATTATTTTATGCCAGACCAGTGCTGGAGGCTGGGGAATGAGTACAGGCTCTGCGCTCAGAGTTTACAGAGCACTGAAGAAATAGTGAGAGGAACACTGTAATATGGTGTGCCAAGTGTATGATGAGACTAAACACGGTTTATTGCAAGAATATTACTCAGACTTGGGGACTAAACTTGTCTTAGTTAGGGTTTCTGTTGCTGTGAAGAGACACCATGACCATGACAACGCTTATAAGGAAAATATTTAAATGGAGTGGCTCACAAAGGTTTAGTCCATTATTGTTATGGTGGAATACGGTGGTGTGCAGGCAGACACGGTGCTGGAAAAGGAGCTGAGAGTTCAAGATCTTCATCGGTAGGCAACAGGAAGTGAGCTGAGTGCCACACGGAGCATATCCTGAGCATAGGAAACCTCAGAGCCCATCCCCACACGTCCTCCAACAAGGCCAATGAAGCCACACCTCATAATAGGGCCGTTCCTTAAGAGACTACGGGGGCCAATTACATACAAACTACCACATTCCACTCCCTGGCCTCCCATAAGCTTGTAAAAATACCATAATACAAAATGCATTTAGTTCTACTTCAAAAGTCCCCACAGTTCCAACAATGTTTAAAAGTCCAAAGTTCTAAATCTCTTCTGAGATTCATGCAATCTTTCCTCTCTCTCTCTCTCTCTCTCTCTCTCTTCCTTTCTCTCTCTCTCTCTC